TATTGTGGGTGATTTTAACATGCATGTAGATAGTAAAAATGACAGCCTCAACAAAGCATTTTATCTGTTGTTAGGCTCAATTGTCTTCTCTCAAAATGTGAAAGAACCCACCCACCACTTCAGTCACACTATATGGCATAGAAACTGAACATTTAACAGTGTTTCCTGAAAACCCTTTCTTCTCTGATCATTTCCTGATAACATTTAAATTTACAACAATTGATTATAGACTTCATCACAGTAGATATCTTTCTGAAAATGCTGTAAATAAGTTTAAGAATATAATCCACCCATTGTTATAATCTTCAATGCCCTGTACCAACACAGAGCAGAGCAGCTACGTGAACGCTACACCAACAGAGGTTGAAGGTTTCTTGTTTGATGTGTTATGTTCAGTTTTGCATGTTCTGTCTAGTTGTGTTGCTAGCCCCAGCCATGTTCCCCACGTGTTTCCTGTTTCCTCACCAAATTTAGTATTTGTGACAAGTTATTATGTTTCTGTTAAGTCACAATATTTTTGTTAAGACGTTATGTTAACGCTCCATGTCGGAAATACATTGCAGAAAGCCTCTGTCTGTGTCTGTGTGTGCAAGGGGTGCAGCTGTATTGACAGGAAAAAGTGCACAGCCTGAGGAACAGACAGAACTAGCCTCTCTGATTGGTGGACTGAAATTGAGCAGTTCCAGGCTGTTTGTCATAGATACACACAGGCCACACTCTTAATAGCCCATGTTCATTAAGAGTGTGGCCTGTTCTACCTGAATAGAACTAAAGATTTTTCTCATAGGGTTAATAACATGTCTACCAATTATTTCATGTGCAAATTACTGCTGAGAGTTACTCCAAAAACTTCCTTTAGTGGCTCTTCATCAGAATATTTATTTATTTGTTGACATGAAAATCAGTCACTGTGTATTTTTAAAACCTACAATTCAATGTGATGGCATTAGCCTGCCAAACAACATAAAAGTATCAAAAAAGGTTAAGTATGGAAAATCTTATGAATGGAAAATCTTATATTGCACTCTAAGAACAATAAATGTAAAATAGCAGGAAAGATCAGTGCTCTGTTGCAGTATGCAGAGTACACGTGTAAATTTTTCACAGTACCAAAAGACACATTGCCTTTGCAGACTGATGATCAAACACAGAGACAGAGGTCACAGAAAAATTACAAATACCAGAACGTTGCTGTCTTATGTCATTCAGTCACCTAAAGGTAGTAGGTTTGACCTTCAGAGGGTCATCATGACTAGGTCTGCATGACTACTGTAAATGCACCAATTTCCAGTCATGTGACTGGCTGATTAGATATTCGAGCAGGTGTACCTAAGTTACCCGATTTTAGTCATTAGGCCTTTTAAAAAGTATTACTGCCATTTGTGTCTTAATATTTCTAGTAACACTACTTTAACTGCAGTGAGCATGTGAGACATCCCTTTTTATGGAAAAGGAAGGAGAAGTAATATTTATTATTATTCACATATTGCACAGACCTCTTCAATCAAATTTCCTTTGGTGGACAGAAAACAACCGTTGTAGACAGTTTGGGGTTACCTTTTATAATGTCAGACTAGTATTAAATTTTCAAAAGTGAAGTCAGTTCTTCTGGCCAGGTTTAGACCAGGATGAACATAAGTATAATATTGAACCTGAAGTATGATCCTCCCGCCCACTAGGGAACCGCTCCCAGCTGTGGGTTCACCTCCTCCTGCTGAACTCGTAGCGCAGCAAACAACCAGTCCAGAGACAGACTCTATTGTAGCATCACTTTGATCCTGAACTCCTGTGAAGCATGACGAATGTGGCCTCTCTAAATATGAGTAACTAAGAAAACATGTCAGTAGGCACCCTAGTAATTAATGACTTGATTATTTTGGGTATTATTGTATTATTATCATGTCACAAGAAAAACAATGGTGTGCTTGGTTTCAACATAACTTTATTCTTTCATGACTTATTTACAAGTTTCTGACCACTTATAAAATGTGTTCAATGTGCTGCCCATTGTGTTGGATTGTCAATGCAACCCTCTTCTCCCACTCTTCACACACTGATAGCAACACCACAGGAGAAATGCCAGCACAGGGATCCAGTGTCCGTAGTTTCAGGTGCTGCACATCTCGTTTCTTCACACCATAGACAATTGCCTTCAGATGACCCCAAAGATAAAAGTCTCAGGGGGTCAGATCGGGAGACCTTGGGGCCATTCAACTGGCCCACGACGACCAATCCACTTTCCAGGAAACTGTTCATCTAGGAATGCTCGGACCTGGCACCCATAATGTGGTGGTGCACCATCTTGCTGGAAAAACTCAGGGAACGTGCCAGCTTCAGTGCATAAAGAGGGAAACACATCATCATGTAGCAGTTTCAAATATCCAGTGGCCTTGAGGTTACCATTGATGAAGAATGGACCCACTATCGTTGTACCCCATATACCACACCAAACCATCACTTTTGTTGTTCCAACAGTCTTGGAGAATCCAAGATATCACAATTTCGATCCGCTCCTCACGTGTTAACCTCTTCGACATGTCAATGGCTGTGAACAAAGAGAAACTTGTAAATAACTCATGAAAGAATAAAGTTACGTTGAAACCAAGCACACCATTGTTTTTCTTGTGACATCAATAAGTTTGATGTGTCACATGGCCCTCTTCCTATTGAAGAAAAAAAAAAGTTGTATCCAAAATGGCCGACTTCTAAATGGCCACCATGGTCACCACCCATATTGAGGAGTTTGCCCCCTCACATATAGTAATGTAGCTCTGAGCACTGACTGTAGCTCAGGTGGCAGAGCAGGTCAGCCACTAATCAGAAGGTCGGTGGTTCGATCCCAGGCTGCCTCCTGGCTGCATGCCAAATATCCTTGTGCAAGATACTAACCCCGTGTTTACCTACTGGTGGTGGTCAGAGGGCCCGGTGGCGCCAGTGTCCGGCAGCCTCGCCTCTGTCAGTGCGCCCCAAGGCAGCTGTGGCTACAATGTAGCTTGCCATTGCCAGTGTGTGAATGGGTGAATGACTGAATGTAGTGTAAAGCGCTTTGGGGTCCTTAGGGACTAGAAAAGCGCTATACAAATGCAGGCCATTTACCATAATGTGCCACAAACAGGACTTTAATATCACCAACCTTACGGTGTATCCATATAAATGGCCCACCCTGTATAGACCTATCAGGGTATGTAACAGTTTTCGTTTTTACTGCATTTCAATAATTTGAAGAATTTGATGTAGTTTTAAAAGTTGACAAACTTAAAAATCATTTTAAGTAACAATGACTAAATTGCTATTTCTTTGACAGGTGCTGTTCAACACACCGATTCGATTTATGAAACAGTTGTAAAGATCTGCTGGCATCTTCTGGGCTACAGGACTCAGGTAAGACCCAGATTCATGCAAACCAAAGCTGACAGAAAATATCAGGTAATTTCTAAGGACCTGAGAGTGGTGGTGAATAAATGTCTCCTTTTATTTTTAGATTGTGATTAGATTAGATAAAACTTTATTAATCCCTTGGGTGGGTTCCTCTGGGAAATTCGGTTTCCAAATAGCACAGCACCGACAGAAGTTACAGAATGTGAGCAGAATACTATATGTACACATATATAAATACAGAGACATATATAAATAAAGATTATACCAAAGGGATAAATAAAATAAATAGGAATAAGAATACAAGGGAATTGCACATTTCAATTATTGAAGTCTATTAGACCGTTGAATATTAGCAAAAAGTATTGCACAGTGAAAAGGTGAAAAGGCACTACATGATAAGGTTTCCGAAAGAGACTCAGGCGCAGGCCAGGGTATTCCTTTAAGCGAAGAACAGTGTGTTTCTTTACGGTGAACACAATCACCAAGTGGCTATATACAACGTGCAGGGGGGAAAGGGGTCTGGGTCGCCAGGGTCCGTGGGAAACAGGGTTAGGGAAAAAGGTGCTCCACACTTTCTGTACAAAAAGCTCCTCCTCTTCCTCCTCAGTCACTCCTCTCAGAATCCGGTTCCAAAAACGATCTAAACACAAAAGGTCAGGTTAGCGGGATAATAACAAAGGGCTTTCAAGATTCAGGTCGGCAGATACACACGTTTGACTGACGCTGATAGCTCAACGATCCACCGAAGACTAGCGCAGACTCGCCATCTTAAGTAGTGCAGTAATCAGCTGGGATCAGCGGCCGGTGTGGTGATGAGAGCAGGTGTGTGGGCCAGCAGCGGGAGCCCACAATGAGCGTCGCCGCGGCGAGAGAGAGAGAGCGAGAGGGGGAGAGAGGAAAAAACCACAAACATATTGCCTAATAGACGGTCGGCCAGCGAGGCACAGAGACCATGACACTACAGCTTAGTTGTCCCCCCCTCCTTTGTCCTCCTGTTTCCCCTCCCTCTCCCCTCCAGAGAGGGGAACTGAGATGTTTATTAACCCTTTAAACAAGATACACAAATTTGTTTTTTGCTATGTCATGTTGTGTATGATATACTTTTATTATGTATTTATTAAATATTTTTGTATCGCATTTGATGCATCGGATGTTTTTAGCAACTTTTTGTTAACAACAATGTTAACTTTAGACAAAAAAAAGAGTTTTGTCCATAACATTTTGAATTTGTGGCAAGTATTGATCATGTTGATGAGACAGAGGTCTCAGAAACTCATGTATCAAGTATGATACAAAGGGCATTATAGGGTTAACAGTCCAACTACAGTGTTTCAATATTTAAGTGATGCTTTGAATATGTTTAAAAGATAATTCTTATAATGTTTTTCTACAGAACAACTAAACTCCTCAGCATGGTGAAGGACTACACTGAAAAAGAAGCAGCTGGAACAGCATAACACCAAACTGCTCACAGCGCAGGAGGTAGTGATCGAGGAAGTTCCCCGTGTTCTCCATGGCTTCTGGGAGCTTCCTCCTTGTCCACTCCTAAACATGGCCTCCCAGAATCTAAGCATCCTCTCCACGAGTGTCACCAAGGCCACTTTGGATCGTGTCTCACGGCGATGGAAACACAGGTCATCTTCACCCACTCCATCCGAGACAATATGGTCGACAGCATCCTGATGGAGATCAGACAGAAATTTCCTCAAGAAATTCTGTCTATCACAATTGCAAACTTTGCGCCAGTGTTGCTGAAGACCATTGCTGATGTAGCAATGATCCAGATATCTGAAATGTTTGCCCATACGGAAAAGAAATAGTAAAAACTTATATGTGATTACTCATGAAAGTGGCCACTTTCATGAGTAAATCATATAAGGCTTACATGATTTACTCATGAAAGTGGCCACTTTCGCATTACTTTCATACATTGTTTTAGTAAGTATCCAAAACATACAAGTTTCATTATATAATTTTTCAAGGGATCTTATATCTGTTTTCACTCTTATATGCTTTTCATACAAGTTTCACACAAGACAGATACAAACTTTATAAGATTTATATATATCTTTTCCATATGGGTGAGCCTCCTTCAACTCTTCCTGTTGTGAAGAACACAAATGAAGAACCCTCCTCTGACTGTCTTTCAATGGCAAATGTTCCACCAGCCGAAGGGTCTTTTCCAGAAAGTGTTCCAGCACCTGACGTTCTCTGTGGGGAACTTCTTGCTGAAAGGGCATCAAGTCTGAGTTCTCAAGACCTTAAGATCGAAGGACCTCTTTCAGAAAGTGTGCCAGAGCCTGATGTTCCCTGTGAGGAACTTTCCTGAACCTGAATCCAGTGTGAAGTCCAAAGACCTTCAGATCAATAAGAGGAAGAAGAAAAAGGGCTTCTTCAAAAGACTTAAAAGTCTGTTCTGCTGTTGTTGCAGACCAAAAGACACTGACTGACACTGAAACTGAAATTGTCACCGTACTGGGTCTGCGATCTAGTATTGGTGTTCCAGTAACTGTAAATATGTAAATGTGTTCCTTGATGATTGTTGTTCATGTTTTGGGGGTTTCATTAGTTTTCAGTGGGCTGGGTGTTTTGTTTTTCCCTTCGTGTTCTTTAGTTAATTCTTATTCATAGTTCCTGACTTGTTTTCCTAGTTCTTTTTTCTTAGTTTTTAGTTTCTTGAGTCCATTTATATGAGTTTTGAGTTTTTGGTTTGTTTTTTGTGACGTTTATCTCTAATGAAAATGTTTTTCCAGCAATAAAAGCTGCCGATTTAAGTTTCATTCTACGTAAGAGTCCTGAGTTTGGGTCCTACAACCTGCCTATCACAGCACACCATGACAGAAATCAAATTTTATAAACTCATATTGCTTCATATTTCTACATGAGTCTCCATCTATTAGAGTCTGTCTCCATCTATATTACAAAATCTTTTCTTTCAAACATTTGTAAGAGTCTCTTATGGTTCTCAAATTACTGCCATAAGTCCAGTAAGTGTAGTCCAGTGACATAACATATTGATGGTATTATTTTTAATACAATTTGAACTTAGTCTGTTAACATGTTAACAAAAGTAACTGAAACTGGTATATAAAATGCATTTCCTGTAGTACCGTTTCCGGTACGGATTGGGTAGCGACAGCGCTCTCTCTTTTTTTTTTTTTTTTTTGTGAATTTTATTTATAAACAACAGTATAACATACAAGGCACCATCATTAATCTGAATATGTTATATCCTCGGTTGAGCGTTGAACGAACTGCAATCAAAGTCACAACGTAACAAAAAGTCTATTCCACCCATTTTGCCAAAAATCACATTGGAAATAATGTTCCAAAAGGAATTTTTGTTCCTAATGAAAGATCTTAAACATTTCAATTTTAGTACACCATTCATAACATCAAAGTCAATGGCATTAGCCCCACCTTCTTCATAATTTTTAATCATATCATTTTTCTTTATATAATGGCATTTGTTCTTCCATATGAACCTAAAATTAAGATTATTTATAGATTTAATTAGTTTTGGATATATGGGCAGAGAAAAGGCTGGATAGATCCATTTTGGTTAGCAAGATTCTCCCAAACAAAGTTATGTCCCTCTGCAGCCACCTGTTTAAAATTGACTTACACTTTTCTATATTGGCACAGATATTCTTATTTTCTGTTGATATCGTATCCTTGCAAATTACAATGCCCAGATACTTCACCTCTTTTTTGATCTGTATATTACTTATTGACTGCAGGGGACACTCATGCAGAGCTAGAATCTCGCATTTACAGCTCTCTCACCCAGGAAACACACAGTCGCAGAGAGAGCGCGTCGCCCTGTAACCATGGCAACCGTAATGCTGCCGCCTGGAACTACAGAACGTAGCTGTCAGACAAAGCCCAAATAGCCCTGACCCGCCACAATATAAAACAGGAAAATACCGCCATGTAATCCATTTATTTCAACAAAGTAACTGTATTCTAAATACCACCCTTTTAAACGGTAACTGTAACGGAATAGTTACTCATATTTTGTATTTTAAATACGTAACGGCGGTACATGTATTCCGTTACTCCCCAACACTGTTGACTGGCATAGAAACACACAGGACACTCCATGCTCTGTGTGTCTCTGTGTGCCCTTGTGTGTGTATGTTTCTATGTCTGTGTTTATGTTTGCATCCATGTTTGTAAATATTCCTTTGTGGATGTGGGTTATGTGTCACTGCGTTTCTCTGTGTGTGTGTCCATATTTGTAAACATTGTTAGGCATGTCATTTTTGCCATTCCGTGCTCGATGTCTGTGTGTTTGTGTGAGCGTCTGTGTGCATGTGTGCGTGCATATGTGTCCATATTTGTAATTTTGTGTATCTGCTGGCTGTTCCTTCTTGCTTTTCTAATGTTTCTGCCAATTTTTCACAGTTGAAAAACAAGTAGTTTTGAGAAAACTTCAGCTTTTTTCAACTGGCCAGTTTTCTTTTCCAATATTTCTGCTTAAGTTACTTTTCCACTAAATTATACTATTTCTGCTACTATGTTACATTTCTGCAAAGTTATACTATTATACTGTTACACCATGTCTTCCAAGCTGTTATGTTTGTGCTAAATATTAACATTTCTTCTGAATTACAATTCTTCTGCTGTGTTGTACCATTGTGTTCTGCCAAGTTATTATATTTTTGCTAAGTTTTTATGCTTGAGCAAAACGATTACAAGTTCACCTACTTTTCAAACACTGACTTAAGCTTCTTCAGCTATTTTCAGCTGTTTTCAGCAGACAGCTTCAGCTTTACAGCATTTACAGAGCATTTTTGCAGGAAATGCAAATTTTTCTAGCACTTAGAGTCCCCCGAGAGCAGCCATTTGGCTTTTCTACCTTTAAAACCCGCCTTCCAGCCAAATGGCTGGTAGGTGTTTAGCTAGGCTTTAGCTTCAGCCAAGTGGAAGCTAAATTGGCTAGTCATTCATGTGTATTAGGTTGTTACCTGAGAATTCTGGAGGGGAGTGGGGGTGTGTGAATGAGGGGGTGGGGGAGCTGCTAAAAGCTGTGAACTTCCTTTTGTGTTCGTCTTGATGCATTCTCAATCATCCAGGGAAATAAATCTCCAAAAGTCACCAACTTGGAGTGGTTAGTTTCCTGAGCCACAAGGAAACTTGGAGTGTTTCAGTTTGCCATCTTAGGGAGAAATCAACACACATGGGTGTATGTCCTTTGTTGCTGAGATTTATTGATAAAAACAGTACAAAAAACCAACCATTTGTACACATATTTACAAATAATAATAAAAAGTGAGTGAGTACATTTCAACATTTTTCGCAATCACTCACAATCCTGGCACTGCCATGGTATCTGTAGTCTGCATTTACCACATGTGTATCTGTAGCAGTGAACACATCGCACAGTGGCATGATTGTTCTTGCATTTGTGTTTGACCTGACACATGGCTCTTTTTCCAGGGCTAGGTGTGGAGGGTTGTGTCCAAAGCAACTGTTCTTTTCTTGCCTTTTTCCCAGCTTCCCAACACTACCAAAAGGAAGCCAAACACTGTCACCCTTTACAACAAAACAAAGTGTGGCGTGGATGTGATGGACCAGATGGTTCGGGAGTACACTGTCTGCAGAGGAACACGGCGCTGGCCAGTTGCCGTGTTTTACAACATGATTGACATGGCAGCACTGAATGCACATGTGTTGTATCAAGCATGCACCGGGACGAAGGAAAGACGGGTGGACTTCCTGGTGGAGCTTGCAAGAGAGTTGGCTCACTCTCATGTAGCTGGGAAGAAGGCAAGAAAAGAACAGTTGCTTTGGACACTGAAGGCTGGGCACTGCTGCTCTCGGGGGACTCTAAGTGCTAGTTCTAATTATGATCAGCAGTGCCTCCCTCCTCTTTTGCCCTTCCTTCTTTCCCTCCATGTGTATATATAGTGTGTGTTTGTCTATGCTGGTTGTCGGTCCATCTGTGTTTCTTGGTGTTCTCTGCATCTCTCTGCTAGTTCTGGCCTCGCCATCCTCGCTTTTGTTCGTTATCATTCACTGTTAATAAAGCTCACTTGCATCACAGCCTTTGCCTGCATCTTGGGTCCTTTTCTCACAACACCACACAGCTTGCCCCACAAACCGTGACATACAGTAAGAACTATAAATAGTTTAAAACGCACATTCAGGCTTGTGAGATTCATGCAGACACTCAGAAACTGAGCCATGGCTCTGTGCTACTTGCAGAAATTTCTGCATCTCAGCCATTCAAAGACACATTGTATATAGTTTATTTTATGCAATATTCAATACAGGACTGCAAATGTAGTCTTGTTCAAGGAAGCTATTTTTTTATTCAGTGTTTTCAAAAGAGCCGTATTTTTATGCATTTATTAGTAATAGATACAGATATTAGGTTTAACGCCTGGACAAGTTTGAAACCTTTTGTCCCCCACAATGGAAAATGCCTGAAAATAGAAACAGGTATCATTTTAGAAAGCTCCTAATTTTTTTTAAATTTGGCACTCAGCTTTTCTGTCCCCAATATCATTGAAATTCAGCCAGGTGCTGCTCTTTTATTTCACTTTTTCCTGAAACACTTGTAATTAAATCAAGGGTGTTCCCCACCTCTCTGGGTACCTGCCCTATACCACTACACTCCGAAAGGTCTCCACCCTTCCTTCTTTCACACAATGTGATTGACCTATGGTGTGCCCATAAAAATAAAGTCCCACCCAATGACTGGATTCTCAGCAGAGCTGAAGATCTGTCTCCCACATACAGACAGGCCATTAAGAATTGATATATGAAATTATCTCACGAGCAGGACAACAGACATTGTTGTCTGCACCCAGTACCAAACTGGCCTGGGTGTGATTGAATGTGGTTAGCAAAGCCATTTAGCCATTATTTCACCACTACACCATTGTTTGTTTATAGTTTTCAGGAAAATTTAGTCTGTAATATAACACTTACCCATATATGTCAACAAACATGGACACAAAGTAATTCTCGGCAAATTGCCTTAATTGCCTTGCTAATGGTTCAGATGCTCAGGAGACTTCTTTTCTAGGGTTCTAGTTTCCTGTTTTTCATTAGGGATGGGTATCGTTTACGTTTTATCTGATACCAGTACCAAACCGGTACTTTTGAAATGGTGCTGGTGCTCAAACGGTGCTCGAACC